CACCCACAGGGATGTCACACCCACAGGGGAGTACCACACCCACCGGGATGTCACACCCACAGGGGAGTACCACACCCACAGGAATGTCACACACAGGGGAGTACCACACCCACGGGGATGTCACACCCACAGGGGAGTACCACACCCACAGGAATGTCACACCCACAGGGGAGTACCACACCCACAGGAATGTCACACCCACAGGGGAGTACCACACCCACGGGAATGTCACACCCAGGGGAGTACCACACCCACGGGGATGTCACACCCAGGGGAGTACCACACCCACGGGGATGTCACACCCAGGAGAGTACCACACCCACGGGGATGTCACACCCAGGGGAGTACCACACCCACAGGAATGTCACACCCAGGGGAGTACCACACCCACGGGAATGTCACACCCACAGGGGAGTACCACACCCACAGGATTGTCACACCCACTGGGGCACCACACCCACAGAATGTCACACCCAGGGGAGTACCACACCCACTGGAATGTCACACCCACAGGGGTACCACACCCACAGGAATGTCACACCCACAGGGGTACCACACCCACGGGGATGTCACACCCACTGGGGCACCACACCCACAGGAATGTCACGCCCAGGGGAGTACCACACTCACGGGGATGTCACACCCACTGGGGCACCACACCCACAGGAATGTCACGCCCAGGGGAGTACCACACTCACGGGGATGTCACACCCACTGGGGCACCACACCCACAGGAATGTCACACCCACTGGGGCACCACACCCACAGGAATGTCACGCCCAGGGGAGTACCACACTCACGGGGATGTCACACCCACAGGGGAGTACCACACCCACAGGAATGTCACGCCCAGGGGAGTACCACACTCACGGGGATGTCACACCCACTGGGGCACCACACCCACAGGAATGTCACACCCAGGGTAGTACCACACCCACAGGAATGTCACACCCACAGGGGTACCACACCCACGGGAATGTCACGCCCAGGGGAGTACCACACCCACGGGGATGTCACACCCACTGGGGCACCACACCCACGGGAATGTCACACCCAGGGGAGTTCCACACCCACAGGAATGTCACACCCAGGGGAGTACCACACCCACAGGAATGTCACACCCAGGGGAGTACCACACCCACAGGAATGTCACACCCAGGGGAGTACCACACCCACAGGAATGTCACACCCAGGGGAGTACCACACCCACTGGAATGTCACACCCAGGGGAGTACTACACCCAGGGGGATGTCACACCCACTGGGGCACCACACCCACGGGAATGTCACACCCAGGGGAGTACCACACCCACGGGGATGTCACACCCAGGGGAGTACCACACCCACGGGGATGTCACACCCACAGGGGAGTACCACACCCACAGGAATGTCACACACAGGGGAGTACCACACCCACGGGGATGTCACACCCACAGGGGTACCACACCCACGGGGATGTCACACCTACAGGAGTACCACACCCACGGGGATGTCACACCCAGGGGAGTACCACACCCACGGGGATGTCACACCAAGAGAAGCGTCACACTCACCAGAGTGTCACTCTGCCACAGTCCCTCTGACCCCGGTGGCCAGCCCAGCCCTCTGCCAGTTACAAAGCATCTTGACTCTGAACACTCACCGCCTGAAGGCCGACCTCTGCCAGCTGAGTCCACTGTGCCAAGTCTGGCACATCCTGTCTGCACCTGTGGGACCAGCCCAGCCATCTGGGTCACAGCCTCGGTTTCCCTACCCTTTCCTCTCCATTTACCCAGGGGCTCAGTGCGTGCGTCTGACCTTGACCTCTCCAAGTGACTGCAATGGCAGGTAGGGAAAAGGGGGTCAGCTGATAGCTCCACACCGTTCCCAGGGGCTATCCTAAGGAAGGAGCCTGGCTGAGCGGCTTCTAGGCCAGAAACGCCGCAGGCTCTCAGGGCTGGAAGTCCAGGGCGCAGGGCCGGCAGGGTCAGCTCCTGCTTCGCCTCGGCCTCCGCCTGCACGTGGCCTCACACGCTTGTCCCTGTGTGTGTCCGTGACCTCCTCTGGCTCCACATTCACTCATTCCCAGGCTACAGCACCCGATCTTCCGGGGACACAGTTCAACCGTGACCGGTCCCAGCCAGGCCTGGAAGCAGCAGACAGACACAGAGGCACCAGGAGCGAACCCCACGACAGCCTAAGACGCTTCTGCAGCTCTGACCAGCACAGCTGGCTAGCCTGCTGCCCACTCCTGGTCAACCCAGACCGGCAGGGAGATACCGCCCAGGAAGGGGGCGTCCCAAACCCAAGGTGGCCTTCCCTTCCCTGTCAAACAGGAGCCAGACTTGCACAAGCCAGGCTACCAGGCTGCCGGCTTCGGCTTCCCTCCGTGGGGCCAGGGCCTGCCCTTCAGGGCTCACTCTCCAGCATTCATTTGAAGAGCGCCATCTTCCAGCCATAGCCTTAAGTCAGGCTCTGTACATGCCCAGCGCTTGCTTGACAATAACGCGTATTTCCCAATGTGAGGGTGGGGCCAGCACAACAAATGCCCACCACGTTGATGCTGGCGGCAGGTGTGAGGCAGAGGGGACGGGTGGCAGACCAGCCTTGAACACTAGCATCCGCTCCCTAACAGGGTCATGTCACCGTGACAAGGACTGCTGGCATCCCACAGCAGCACTCGGCATCCGGGCCTTCAGAGAGAGCTCACCCCGCAGACCAACTCCAGGAACCAGCTGCCTTCCCTCTCTGGCTTGATTCCCACCAGTGGAAGAGCCGTTCTGGAGTTCATGCTCGTGTCCCGTGCTGGCCGTTTCCCTCAGTCTTAGCTCTGCCGACTCATTCCAGGCTAACCTATCTAGAAATCGTGCCATTTTCCCTCTACCCCGCAGTGGCCCTCTCGTCCCTGTTTTACTGTGGCTTTGCAATGTTTGACAGTTACCAACTCAACCTCCCGCCCCAACTCTGCTGTCCTGCTGCTGCCCTGCTCTAGCTCTCCCATCTTCTCCCCGTTTCTTTGGGAAGCTGTTGGCTCCATTTTCACCCCAACCTGGAATCCGCAGCTTTCTGCTTCTCCCCTGACGCTGGAACACACCTTCTCCTCGGCCGTGAGCTCAGCATCTCCGCCCTCTCCAGGAACAAGCGCCCAACTCTCACCACCAGACTCGATCGTCATTTCGGCTTCACTTTGCCGTTTTTTTATTGTGTTTTTAATGGAGAAATACATCATCTGTTTTCAAAATAGCACTTGAAAATACAAGGAGTACAGATACCATTTAACAAAGCCAACTTGAGTCGCGAGACACTACGTACAGCGCGTGAGAAACAGTCTAAAGTTCAAGGGATCAGAACTAGAAGCAAAAGGCCCAAGTTTCCAGCTTGGGAAAACACTCACACGGAACGGTTAATAAACTAATGTTTCTTTCCCAAATAAGTAAACAAAATGACAAGCCTATATTTGTGCCCGGTGATTCAGGCCCCCACCAGGGCCGTTCTGCACGCGGGACGACATGCTGTGGTGGCAGAGGGCAGGACACGAGCACGAGGGGGACGCAGGCCGGACGGAGCACGTGTCCGTCACCGCACAGCTCCGAGCAAGGACTGCCGCAACCCTGGGAACAACCTGGCAACGCCAGAGTTTAAATGAACTGCAGTTCCACGCGGAAAGGTCCATGCGGGAGGGAGCGAGGCTGCGCCCGCCGGGCTGGCTGCGGAGGGATTCGGCCACAGCTGCAATGCCCTTCCAGCTCGCCCCTCGCGTGCCCTGCACATGAACCTGCTGCTGCATGACTGAGGCATCTCGTTTTTTGTCTAAAGAAAGTATTCCTAATCTTTGGCAGGAAAAATCAAAAGCGGAGGAAGCTGGCAAGATGGCATGTGCTTGTGTTTTGTGTCTCTACGGTAAAATTTACTGGTGAATTTGGTAAGTCTTCGAAAATAAAACTGGTTACAAATTCTTGGAGAAAATGCTTTTTTTTTTTTTTTGCCTCTACTGTGAAAACTGGATAGCCACTCTCCTGTGAGCAGGTCGCACTCTGCGGAGCACAGAGATTTCATCTGCAGAAGCCAAGCGACCACCCACGGGTGCCAGCATGTCTCCCGGGCATCGAGGCCGTGGAATTCAGGTCTGGTGTCCTGTGCCCTACGGACATAGGGTTCTGAGCTCCACATCGTGGTTTAGAAAATACTAGTCGGATACAAGGGCATCCCTTGGGAAGACCAGCAAAGGACAGAGAGGGGACGCAAAAAGCTTTCCTGTTTTAAGACAAATGATTGAGGATGAGAAAACAGGCTTTGTCAGCCCCAAGGAAATGTCTGATCGCTGACTACATAGTCTGCAAGAATGTCACAGATAAAAGCACCATTTCGTGACCACGTCCCATATACCAAAGGCTCGCTAGTTACTGCTCTGATGTCAAACGCCTACCTAGGGCCTGACGTTTCATTTTAAGAGGGTTACACCTAGCGCACGGGCTGGGTTTACTCGTACTCTCTCGGGTATGGTACGGCACTATATGATGGGGTCCGATTTTAAAGGTGGTGGGAGAAACCTCTTCAGGCAAAAGCTGAAGCTCGGCCAGCTGAAAAATCTATAAATAGTTCTAAAGTGCATCCCTGGAGTGAGGAATTCCAGAGTGCAGGGCAGGTGTCAGTCGGAGACGCAAGCACGGCTGGAGGTCTTCTCTTCTCCCAGGCAGCAGTCCTGGCGAGAGCTCACGTCACGTGCGCCGAGATTTGAGCGATAGTACTTCTGGCTTCACTCGCCAACCTGGAAGCTCCCCTCCCCGGAGTCCCTCCTGGACTGGAAGCCGCGCCCTTCTTGTTGGGATCGTCAGCTGGCAGGCGAGCTGGTGGAGGCTGTTGGTGGGCAGCGGCCTCTACCCATGGCGTCTGTTGGACGGAGCTCATGGTGACAGCCGCGGGGCTCTCGGGCAGGACGGGGCACTGGGACGTCCTGTGCTGGAGGAAATGATCGGTCACTGTCTCTCTAGCTTCCGTTCTTGTATTCCACACCTTCCTTTCCTAGATTCCCACGATAGGGTTAGGGATGCCGGCCGCGGCATTTCCGGAAGGCATGGGTGGATGGCTCAGCAGACACGGTGAGGAAACCACCCGGGTGACTCTGGGCTTTGGTGGAGGAGAGCCGGCAGGCTGTGAGGCCGCCTGAGGGATGCCTTCACCCGACACGGCCCCGGGGCCCTCGTCGGGACTCCCCTGGGGCAGCACAAGCTCGGGGGCCTGCCCGTTGGCCAGCGTCACAGACAGGACGGGCGGGGCGGGGCTGCTGGTGTCCCGGGAGCTGCCAGTCAAGAGGCCGGCGGGCGACGGCGTGGACACGCTGTCTTCACTGTCCGTCCCGGCACTGCCATCGTCACTCGTGGCCGTCAGGGTGACGCCCTCTGCCGGGCGCGTCTTCTTTTTCTGAAACACGTGGTTGGGGAGCAGCTCCTGCAGCTCTTTCTTTCGCAAGTGCATGGCAGCGACTTTCATGTCCATCTCAAACATCTTGCTGTTGACGGCCTGCCGGTACACGGTGTCCGTGAACGACTGGATGTCGTAGGTGAGGTCCACGCTGAGAACCTCGGACTGCTCGGGCTTCTTCAGCACCAGCCCGATCACCCACATGGTGCAGAACTCCTCCCGCCCGGGCTTCTCCTTGGGCGCCGGGTACGACTGCGGGTTCACGTGCGCCAGCGTGATGAACTCATTCTTCTCCAGGCTCCCGACCAGGATCCGGATCTTGGACTCCACCAGGCCGACCCACTCCAGGTGCTGCTTCTCCGTCGGCGCGCTTGCTAGGAGGACAATGTAGTGCTTGTACTTCTGGAAGAAGCTTGGGGCTTCGAAAAGTTTAGACCACTCGGCCTTGTTGAGCAGGATCTCGTGCGTGATGGCGAGGCCTTGTTTAAACTCCTCCACCATGACCATCCTGGTGGAGACGGACACGTTGTAGGTGGAGTTCTGCTGCGGGTACGCCGGGGTGATGATGGGCATGAGGTGGTAGCGGTCACTGGGGTTCACTCTCGGGTCCCAGACCGGCAGGTTCAGGTTCCGCTCCTCCGGCTCTTTGAGCAGCACCGGGTTGGGCCACTCCCATTCCGAAAACACCAAGAAAAATTTCCGCACCAGAGTGGAGGCTACGGCATTCGGGTAGAGCTGGCAGGTTCTCGCCACCAGCATGGCCCAGGAAACGCCGCCCAGGAAGCCGAGTATGTTGGAGTAGATGTTGTGGCACTTGGCCCACAGCTTGATAGCTCTCAGCGTTAACCTGAAGTTGTCGATGTCTGGGACCAGATGTAGTATCTCGTCGGTTACCCGGCAACCGTTAAGACTTCGGATGCATCTGATATCTAAGTTCTTGAGCAAACTGTCATCCCTTAAATCCAAGTCTTCCGGAATGGTCTGCAGTGCTAATCTTGCAAACAGAATATCGATCTCTATCCCATCAAAACACAGCTTTATGACCGGCACGAACGCGTCCTCCACGGCCCGCAGGTCTTTCACTTCCTCCTGCAGCCTCAGCTTGTGGTAGAAGGAGGTGAAGAAGTCGCTGCGGTCCACGTGCCTGGGCGCCACGCACAGCGCGTCGATGTCGGCGCCCTTGGTGTGCACGCCCAGGCGGTACGAGCCGAAGGTGAAGAGCCGGCCGCCCACGCTCTCCACCAGCACCTCGGGCAGGCTCTTGCTCGCACTGACTTCGCGGATCCACTCCTTCACCAGGTTGTTCAACTTCTCCAGGATCAGGATCCGGCCCTGCAGCTCCTCCTCCTCCTCAAACACGCCGAAGGGCCGCAGGGTCTCGATGAGCTTCTGGGTGAGCGCGCAGTCCGTCTCCTTGGGCGTGGCCAGGCTGATGGGCGAGGAGATGCCGTAGCGCTTGGGCGGCGGCGCCGGCGCTCCCGGGGCCAGCACCGGGAAGGGCATCATGTCTAGCGCCGGCCCCGCCGCGGCCCTTCCGCCCCCGCCGCGACCTCCACGGCCGCACGGGGCATGATCCGCTGGCGCGGGAGGGGCGGGCGCTCCACCAGCCCGGGGGACCCCGCTCCGAGCCCGGGGCCTCAAGCGCTTCGCCTCCTTCCCCTGGGGGCCAACATGGCGCCGGGCGGCGGCGGCGGCGCTTGGGGACGATGCGCCCGCGCGCGCCTGCGCACCGGCCGGCGCACCGGCCCGGGGCGGGGGTTCGGGTCCAGGCGGGCATCAACCGGCCGCGTTCGGCCGTGCCGCCCCGGCTCTGCCCTCACACGCCATCAGGGCGCGCTCCCTCGTGCGCACTGGGGCGGCCGCGCTGTGGCAACGCCCCGCCACCGAGGACATGGGTGAAGTCCTCGCGCGAGCCCGCTGCACTGCCCACACTGCCCGCATTGCACACACTGCCCGCATTGCCCACACTGCCAGCATTGCCCACACTGCACACACTGCCCGCACTGCACACACTGCACACACTGCCCGCACTGCCCACACTGCCCGCACTGCCCACATTGCACACACTGCACACACTGCCCGCATTGCCCACACTGCCCGCATTGCCCACACTGCCTGCACTGCCCGCATTGCCCACACAGCCCACACTGCCTGCACTGCCCACACTGCCTGCATTGCCCGCATTGCCCGCATTGCCCACACTGCCCGCACTGCCCGCACTGCACACACTGCCCACACTGCCCGCATTGCCCACACTGCACACACTGCCCGCACTGCCCACACTGCCCGCACTGCCTGCACTGCCCGCACTGCACATACTGCCCGCATTGCCCACACTGCACACACTGCCCGCACTGCCCGCACTGCACACACTGCCCGCATTGCACACACTGCCCGCACTGCCCGCATTGCCTGCACTGCCCGCACTACCCGCACTGCCCACACTGCCCACACTGCCCACACTGCCCGCACTGCCCACACTGCCCGCATTGCCCGCACTGCACACACTGCCCGCACTGCCCACACTGCCCGCACTGCACACACTGCCCGCACTGCACATACTGCCCGCATTGCCCACACTGCACACACTGCCCACACTGCCCGCACTGCACACACTGCCCGCACTGCCCGCACTACCCGCACTGCCCTTGGGCTTCTCCCGGCTTCGCACGGGATGAAGCGCTGGTTGTTCCCTTCCCTGTGTGACCCGCGTCCCCACCGTACAGCCGCCCTCCACAGTCGTACTAGCGTACTGTTTAAATGATTCAAAACTCGTGCTTCCAGCAGCGCTGCCCACAATGCCCAGTTGTCCTTCCTGCAGCTCGTTCAACACTTACTACACACACATTCAGAGCGTATAATCAGACGCCACTGCTGACGCCCCTGAATCCACTTCCAGAACCTAGTTTCCTATGGAATCCCTGGGAGTGGCCGCCCAGCATGAGCTGGGTTTTTAGGATCCGTGTTCTTTCTGTGAGCCACAGGACAGTGTGTATACACTGTGTCCTTGCAGAAGGGCATCACACAGACCCTGCAGCCCACGAGGGCCCCTGCACACTCCCACACACACAGACCCTGCAGCCCACCAGGTCCCTGCACACTCCCACACCACACACACACACAGACCCTGCAGTCCAGCAGGGGCCCTGCACACTCCCACACCACACACACACACAGACACACACACACACACACCCCTGCACCCCACCAGGGACCCTGCACACTCTCACACCACACACACACAGACCCTGCACCCCACCAGGTCCCTGCACACTCTCACACCACACACACAAAGACCCTGCAGCCCACCAGGTCCCTGCACACTCCCACACCACACACACACACACACACACACACACAAACACACACACAGAACAGGGGTCCTGTTCTCTCATCACCTCTGCTGCACTCCAGCTCTTAGCCAGGGATTACCCAGAAGCAAAGGCAGTACAGTGCTGAACCCCAAACACATCACAGAGAGCTCTGCTCTCCACCCCCAGGAAACAGTGCAGTTGTCTCCTCCTAGGGTCAAGGCCAGGTAGGATCTTTCAGGGAGAAGCCCTGGCCTCAGCAGCACGCCCACGTGTCCCACGAGTGTGACCAGGTTGAGTCCCAGTTCCACTTCTGATGCCAGCATTCGCGACGCAAGACAGTGGTGCAGCCGGAGTGCACAGGTGTCTGACACCCGTGCCGGAGGCTCAGTTGCTGACTCAGCTTCAGCCTGACCCAGCCCCAGTGAGAACGTGAGCTAGTGGCTTGGGTGGGCTCCCACACTGCTCACTGCCCATCTCCCCACTCCTGGATCAACAGCTCTCTCAAATAAATTTGAAAAAGAAGAGTTTTAAAGGGAGCTAATTTTGTCATCTCTTAGCAGGCAGCAAGCCCTCCCTGCTCCCCCTTCGCTCAGAGTGGCGCCCCACGGGGACCCAGGGGCGCTAAGGGAGGCACCTCCGTTCTAACTGCCTGCTCCCCCTTGGCTCAGAGTGCGCCCCCAGACACAGCATAGTGCACCTCCGGAACTCCCTGCTCCCCACCCGCTCAATCGCAGCCCCCACGGTAACGCAGCGCTAAGAGTCAGCCTACCCCGTTGCCAATCTCCTGCTCCCACGTCCTCGAGTGGCGCCCACGGACCCAGTGATAGAGGCGATCCCCGTGTAACTCCGTTCTCCCCCTGCTCTCAGGTGCCCCCACGACCCAGTGCTAGGAGGCACTCCCGTTTAACTCCCTGCTCCCCATTCGGCCAGTCGCCCAACGGGACCCAGTCTTAAGGCTGCACCTGGTTCCTCCCACGGCTGGCAAACGTCTGCGGGGCAGACTGCTCGAGAGCCAGCTGGGATCTGGGCGCCGGTCCTGGAAGCTTCACCCCAGGGGCTGCCTGTACGTCCTTGGGTGCTCAGGCACTGGAAGATGATACACAGCTTCCCGATACTTTATCTAGAAGGATTTTCCAAGATCATTAATTCCACCTATTGCCAAGATGTCAGTGTGTACTTCTCAACTCCTTCCCACCTGGTCCGCGTGCTCAGCGCCCCGAGAAAGCAATCGGGGGGTCTTGGATGACTTCCCCAGCCCACAACCCAGTGACCCCCACTGACCCCAGCAGCTGCAGTCACCGGATATCCCGCAACTCCACACTGTGCGTGCTGTGGCCTGGGCCATTCCTCAGCCTAATTTACACACTCTTCTGGCAATACCCACCCCCCCATCAGGGGCAGGAACCGCTCCTCTGCCAACTCACTTCAACATGAGCCTGCTGTGGAGTCACTGGATGGTAAGTCCCACATGCTGGCATCCACAGGTGTCCCCACAAGCCTGCATCTCTCCGCGAAAGCGCATTCAGTGCCTGCATAATCGATCACTTCTCACACAGTGTTTACACAGCCCATCTGTCTAACTGCTCGAGTTTGCCACCTCCTGCCACAGAGCCCAAATATTGGAGGGTGCAGGAGCCAGCACGTGGCACAGCATGACGGGGGGGCGGGCTGCCAGTCTTCTGCCATCGGCAACTCCAGCTGTATGTGCGACCTGCGACCTGTGACCTGCACCCTGCGACCTGTGACCTGCACCCTGCAACCTGTGACCTGCGACCTGTGACCTGCACCCTGCGACCTGTGACCTACGACCTGTGACCTGCGACCTGTGACCTGCACCCTGCGACCTGCACCCTGCGACCTGTGACCTGTGACCTGCAACCTGTGACCTGTGACCTGTGACCTGCACCCTGCGACCTGTGACCTGTACCCTGCGACCTGTGACCTGTGACCTGCACCCTGGGCTCCAGTGTGCGTTCCTCTTGGGTATCTTGTCCCTTCTCGCTGATCTTCAGCCACTCCCGACTCTGTGCTAGCTGTTCAGCAGTACCTCACTTCAGGCACTGCAAGCACTTGTCCCAGTACAGGCGTGCCTGCCAAGCTTACCTAAACAGTGCCCTTGGCTGGACAGGAAGTGGCCATGTGACCCCACCAAGTCCATCCACCTCCCCCCTTAACCTTTGCATGCCTTTAAGCTTTGCTTAGGCAACTCTTCTCTTCCTTTGGCCTCCAGGTTTTGAACGCATCTGGAGCGAGGGTCCACTTTTACTTTTCTCCACGTCCTGAAGCTGGCTGTCCCGACTCTGGACAAACTCCTTTATGCGACACTTCTGGCACGTTCCCTATTCCAGCCCGCTCTGACCCCGCCTGTAAAACCTGGCCGGTCAAGAGCTTCCTAACTCGTCCACACCACTGCAGGCCACGCCGCCCACCTCACGGCGCTTCAAGCCCACCACGGTGTGGGAGAGCCTGCCACGCCCGTGCCAAGGCTGGGCTCAGGCCTGCGTGGCACCTGGCGGCTCTCCAACACCTCAGGCAGCAGCTCCACTGTGAACATCTCAGCACGCTGTCCAGAGCACAAGACCACTGCACACGCGCGAACAACGCCAAGAGTGTCGGCCAGCGCTGTCACGGTGGGAGCCAGCAGATCCCAACGTGGCGGGGACGCAGTGACACCACCAACACCCCTGCGCTGGCGGGACAAGGGTCCCGACTTGCACTTCGCCAAATGCGGCAGTTACCAAGTCAGGGGCCACATTTCTGCGCTAGCTACAAAAAAGACGCTGGCAGTGAATATTAATACATACACTTCTAATTTGTTTTAAAGATTTTTTTTTTTTTTTTTGGAAAGGCAAATCTACAGAGACAAGGAGAGACAGAGAGGAAGATCTTCCATCTGCTGATTCACTCCCCAAACGGCCACCACAGTTGGAGCTGAGCTGATCCAAAGCCAGGAGCCCAGAGTCTCTCCCAGGTCTCTCATGCAGCTGCAGGGTCCCAAGGCTTTGGGCCTTCCTCAACTGCCACAAGCAGGGAGCTGGATGAGAAGTGGGCCTGCCAGAATTAGAACCAATGGCATGTGCAAGATGAAGACTTTAACCACTAGGCTACTGTGCTGGGCCCTACACTTCTAATTATTAAGTCAACTTAAAAAAATGTAAAAACGTTTTTGGAAAACACGAGTTGTACTGTTTA